TTTGAGTGGAAATAAATGTACATGTAATATTAGAAATATCAGTGTACTACAGCTATCTTCATCTTTTCCATAGTTTCATTTGCCTGTTCATTATCCTTCATAAAAGGAAAGTGGCCACAGAGACTAATGGGATACAGAGAAAGGGTCTTCTACATGGTTTTCCAACTCCTGCCTAATTAGAACATCTCAACCAAACCCTTTTTTCTCTTGTCATTTCTTTTCTCTGGGCCCCACCCGAGTCCTCTTTTCAGAAATCTACATTTCAGTGTTCTATATTTTAATTCTGTTCCCAAGAGAAACATGATGTCTAATCCTATATCCTCATGTGTTCTCACTTTTTCTCCTCCGTAGGTTTCTTACTGAGACTAAAGGATAAGCTAAGGCCAGAAAAATGACTCTGTGTCCCAATCCTGTGTGTTCAGGATACCCCGTGAGCTCAGCTGGGTTCTTTGGGAGCCTAAAGGGCATTAAACAAAATTTTGTAAATAAAGGTGCATTTAGTGACAACTTCCCATTTTCCCTATATATGACAACTTTTGGGGCACCCTGTAGAATCAGACCTCCAGAATCTTGCCTTTGTTCTACGTCACTCCAATATACAGCCATTATTTTAATTTTGTATTCTTCCATCAATATTGGAGAAATAAGCCAAAGACCACAGTAAAATACAATAAAGGCAGAATTCCCTAGAGACTTGAAAAAGACGTCATTTGCCACCTCAGTATGTCTGCCAGTCAGCCCTTCTGATGTAAAGCATCTGTCCTCTTCAAGGAAACAAAGATCTGGTGGTTCTTTCCAGGCTGTGAAGCAGGAGGTGGTGTCATTTGTTGTACAGAGCCAGGAGCCCCATGTTACTGGGCTGCAAGCTGCTGAATGCCTTGGTTTAACATGCTAAAAATTTCATCAGCTGTCTTTAATAAAACAGGATGTGTGTAGGGGAAGGCATCAGCAGTTGTGGTTGGGTTTCCCTTCCCCAGCCCATGAGTTACAGCTGGCAGAGAGCAATGACACCAATATGTAATCAGCCAGCCAGTCATCTGTAATTCTTGCATTTTGATCATATGTCTAGGTAGGCTTTAAGTCTGTTTAGAAGCCTTTCCATGATCTTATTTGATTATCAAAAGGCTTTTCATACCCTCTCTTTCTGTCTAATAACAATCATTCACGGCTTCTGTTATTTGAACATTTACTAACTTAAGTAATTGCATGACCAAGAGAAGAATCCTGCTTTTTGAGAAGGTGGACTTTTTATCTGACATACTTTATTCTATACATTAGAACCTCTTACAGGAAAATTTAATCACACAAGCTATAAAATGATATAATCTGTGATCTAGAAGCGACCTTTAGAACAGTTCTTCTCAATTGTTAATGAGCATACAAAGCACCTGAGGGTTTTATTGAAATTCATGCTGATTCCGTAGGTGGGGCCTGAGATTCTGCATTTCTGTCAAGCTCTCAAATAATGCTGAACTACAATTTGTGTAGCTCAGCCAGAAGACCTGAAGGCGTTCGGTCCAGTGCACACCCATTAAGCTTCCCTAGCACTGCTGTAGAGAGGCAGACATGACAAGCTTAAGAGACAAAGCCCCTGTCTTTGAAGACAGAAAACCATGTAAGAAAAAGTAGATTCTATATCCAGTCTTATTCATAAATTTTTACCAAACACATGATATTGTTTATGTCAAAATAAAGGTTGATGCTTTCAGAGCAGTTACCTAGGGTGATGATGCTCATTACTTATGTCACATTTAAGCATACCTGTATGTAGATTCCATCAGTTTCCATTCACTCAAATAAGAAAGCTAGAGTGATGTTTTAAGTATTATGTGATGTACATTTTTAGATTTTTAAAATTAAAAAAATTTATTCTGTTAAAATAGACATTTACATTCAAACCAAAATGTTACAGCTAAACCTAAAATGTATAGCTATATAGCTGCTTAAATATATTGAATGATCTTAAATATGCACACTTTTAGTTTATGTATATTTTTAGTCCTTAGAGAAAGCAAGTAATGAGTCTATGTGAGCTGTCTTGAGATCTGTTATCCCACATTAACTTCATAATATCAATTTATGATTATTTTTGTTTAATGAGTAAATGCTAGTGTGGATAATGCAAAATTAAAGTTATTACAAACAGACCATTATAATTAGCATTCAGAACTCATTCATGAGAACAAATTTAACTTCTTAATTGTGTTTTCTTAGAATAATATTAAAATACTAAATTTTTTATCTTAATTTGATTGTGGCTAGGTAACTCCAAAATATTCCAAGGACAGAGGAGCCTCAAGCTGCAATTTAGTAAATGACAATAAGGCCTATTTATGTGGCAAGGTATACTTCACCCGCCATTTTTACATCCATCTCTTATTGGTTTAACCTTAAATAATCTAGAAAGCTAGTAATGATAGTGCCAGTTCAAAAATCCTCAACCTTTGGATTCTCTGGTTGTTCAGGCACACTCACAAGGAGATTCTACTTTTGTGTTTTTGAATTGATGAGAAGGAGGGAGAAGAACAGGAAAAAGACAAAATGCTTGTGTTCTCAGATAACATCTACAGAAACGCTATGAAGCAAGTACTGTTGTCTTCCCATTTGTAGAAGAAACTGAGATCTCTGGCCCTCCTCACCCATCTTGTTCAAGTGCACACATCTCTGTGGTGGAGCTGATATTTGAACCTAGGCAGTCTGACTCCATAACCTCTGAATGTTTTTAATAATCCCTTTGAGTTGCAATTATAGATACAGACACTGTAAGTACAGACACTTTGGTAATAAAGTGATTCAGGAAATAACGACTGTCCCACAGAGCCATCTGGTTTCTCTCAGCCTCATCCCTGGGCCTCTTCCATTTCTGTTTAGTAAGGAATGGTCTCCAGCAGTGGTTCTCCCTCCCCATTTCCTCTCGTCCCACTCAGGTAGCAGAAAGTCAGAGCATTTTATCTTCTTAGCATCTCTAGTAATTCAGGCTGTGAGCACACTTCACCGTCAGTTTAGTAGCTGTTTATTGATAGTTGTGCTAAGCACTGTGTGGGGGCATAATTCAGAAATGTGTCCAAGCATCAAGGAGCTCAAGATAAAAACAGTGGTGTGATTACAAAGTTCTTACAGGAAGACAGAGTAGGTGGTGATATTTTCAGTTTCCAATGTGGAGCTTTTCATTGCACATGTAATTTAGAGCTATGTTTATTTGGATTGGCATTTAAAATTAGAAACTGACCATCTGTATTTTTCTTGATAAGCGTGGAGTCATCCTGACCAAAAGGTTTTTGAAGGTCAGGAGGAGCTTATATTTGCAACATTATTTTTGGAAAAGAAAAACAGATGTAGAAAAGTTTGAAAATAATGCCTAGTAGTTGAAGACTTAAGCGAATTTTGGTACACATCCAGAGACTTATTATGTAGCCACTGAAGTAAAAATTTTAAAGGCTGTACAGCAGTGTAAAAAAATCACAAACATGTATGTGCAAGACCTCAAGCAAAATGAGACAAGGAAAAGAGATCTTGACATCCGTAGTGTGTATGCTTTATACCTGCCCTCTGCTATGTGTATCTGTTTATTTTTCTCATTGTATCTTTCTAACAGCATGCAAAGAAGCTGAGGTTATATCTTTCACAGATGAATGAATTGGGGCACAGATATGGTAGGGGACTTCACCAAGGTCACAGTCAGTGGTTGAACAAGAACTCAAACTCAGATCTCTTAAAATCCAAATTTGATCATAGTTTTCAAAGTCAACTTATTCTAAGCCATTCCACCCTCTCCTTTAGCATTTTTTTTTTTGGTTCAGAAATAATTACTTTTACAATAAAGAGCATGAATGCAGCCGAAAAACACATTCATACTAAAATCTTATGAAAATACTAAATCTCAAAAATAATTATGAACTATTTTGAAGGACAATTAATAGTTGACACTTATCTGTAAAATGAAAGCATAATTCTAACATGAACACTTTTAATTTTATCTGATATGTGAAATATGCCTTTATGTAACTGCCAAAATATTAGCTGTTCTTGCTAGCCAGAATGTTCCAGGGATAACACATAAGATCAGAACAGCCTTTATTTGCAGATAGCAAGCAAAATATGTTTTCCTTTGTGAAGAACTTTTGTTGTTGTTAGCTCATTTCTGAGAATTTGGGGATGGAAACCTTTGTGTTAAAATAGTACTGCGTAACTCAGGCCTTTTTGAAACTTTTTTTCCCCACTTGATGGTTCCATAATTCAATTATGATGCATTAGTGAAAATTCTATGAGAATTACTTTTTAATAAAATGAAACTTTTCTTATAAAGGTTTCACTTTTCAGTGCCATATTTTATCTGTTTTGATATATTTTTACTTTGCTATATTATAGTAAACATCCGCCATTAGAAGCTAAAAGAAAAAAACTTGGCTTTCAAAATAAGGGCTTTGTCTTGTTAAACTACTTAGGTTTGGAAAGAACTTTAAAGTGGTTGCATATGAGTTTTTTTCAGGGTTTTTACCCTAAAAACATCTGTAAAATTTTATAGTTGATCTTAATTGTTTTGCATTAAAAGCTTGGAATATTGCTAAAAAGAGAAAATAGTGAGTGGACATAGATTTTTCAACTTTTCCCCCACTTAATTTTTTATTTCTTGCCATTGAGTTGAAAAAAATTTTACTCTTTCCATCTGAAATTGTATCACTTTTAACTTTTTTTTCTCAAAAATACAGTTGGACTAGGTTAGTAGGTCCTCATATTTTATCTCTGCTTTCTCATTAAATAAAATAATACTATTTCTCTGGATGCCCGTCCTATTTAAAGCACAGAGTACACAACAGCTATTTGAAAACTTTTTTTTTTCTCCCTAGTTATCTGTATCTGTATAAGTCGCTAAATTGCTTCCACATAATGCCTGTAGACATATGGGAATCATCTGCATAAGTGGGTGAAGATTTTTGTTTGCCATGAAGGAGAGCTGGAAATGGCCTGTTGACTGTTTTCCTTGCTTTCTCTCGTGGCAGTATCCCGCTGCGCTGATGAACCTGGGCGCCATCCTGCACCTCAACGGCAGGCTCCAGAAGGCCGAGGCCAACTACCTGCGGGCGCTGCAGCTCAAGCCCGATGACGTCATCACGCAGTCCAATCTCCGCAAACTCTGGAACATCATGGAGAAACAAGGCTTAAAGACTTCCAAGACCTGACACAGGGAGCAGAAAGAAACCCATCCTCCTCCATTTCCCAAAGCCGGCTTCCTTAACAGACAGAACTTCCCCATAAGAACGCATTTTGGTCTTCCAGGCCCAGGGCAGAGGTCATTGAGGTCACTGCCACTTGTGGGAGAATCCTCTTTGCTGTTGGCACAGCTGTTAACACCAAGAAAAGGGGGGGGGGGACATTGGAAACCTCCTGGAGGAGGTAATTGTTACCCATAGACTGTAAACCAGAGCACTTAAAACAGAATTTTTTGACATTCTTAAAAGGGGGGGGGGTTGTCTTTTAAGTTACAGATTTGGTTCATTTTTAAAGCTAATCTCAAAATGATGTTGTTCCTGAAACACTGTGAGAGGAAGTCAGAGTGTCCACTCAGCCACCGTAAACTATTGAGGTGAAGTTGTTAATAGGGAGAGATTAAAGCGTAGTGTGAATCCCAGTGAGCCACTGGTTGTCCTGACGCTGCTGTCTTCCCTCTTTGGGACAGCCTGCTTACCAATTTCTGAAGCTTAGGAAATTCTTTTTTTAAATACTGTGTCCGAATCTGTTGGAATCTGCAGTCGTTCCTTGACTAGTGCACATAATGTTTTATGATTTATATGTCACAGTCTTCATTCTTTGGGACATCATTTGGTTTTTGTGTTCTGAAAAGGATTTGGGGAGAGTAGAGCCAACCAGACTTCACGCTTATGTTGTGAGAGGGGCTGGGGAGGCCTTAAATGTGTCAGGCGGGCTTTTTTTTTTTTATTATTTTAATGTTGCCACTATTTTCCCCCAAACTGCCTAATAGAATTTGTTATATTAATTCTTTTGAAATTCTCTTTTACAATGGCTATTCCTGGTTAACGTGCTTGTGTACATAGGATAAAGGAAAGGGAAGTTTATAAGTGTTCTTGTTCCAATAACTAACCAACACCTATTAGACAAAAGGGAAGATGCTTCGTGCTTCCCAGATGTTGCTGGTTAAAAAATCGAGTCTACACAAAGAAGTGTATGGTGATAGTTGCCATTGATTCGGCATTTTGGAAAGAGTTGGTATAAAATCGTAATCGCTTTCTAATAAGTACCTAAACAGTAATGCTGATGAGTTTTTTTCAAAGAATTATTTTTATCTTATTTTGCTCTTCCTGAAAGATGTCAAAAATGACTTATTTTTAGCTGAAATAGAGTGTAGCATTAGCCTGCGTATTTCTAGGTCTTCTGCCAAGTATTTTTCTCAGTTGAAAACTATTTTTCACTAGCAAATTTGATCATTTTTTTCATTACCTGTTAGTAACCACCTCAGTGATCATTTCAACAAGGAAAAGACTATAAATGAAGTAGAGAAAAAACATTTATTGAACAGTTTTTGGCTTGCAGTCAAACTTTGCTACTAAAAATTAACTTCATATAACGCTAGTCCATTATCAGTTTCTTCATAGAGAAAGTAGCTATGTTATACCCTACATATTTATTTATTTATTGTTCTACCATAGCAGAATAACAAAACCAAACTTGATGCATTAAGCCAGTTCTTTGTAACTCAAAATTACCTGTTTTTCCTTCTTTCATTCTCCATGTATATATGATCAGCGTCCCCATTAAAGGGAAGCTAGACATGCAGATACATCATATTATGTTTTCTCCATATTTTATATGTTTTGCTATATATCTGAATACAATGGGATAAAAAAATTTTAAGTTGGGTTTCTTTTGCCTTTGTTTTTTTTTTGGGAGGGCCAATTTTGTTGGGGGGGTTTTTTTGATGGTGTTAATAAGGCCCTCTAATAATATGTATATTATTTTGTAAACATTTCATTGAAGGGCCAAAAGTTAACTTATAACTAAATCACTGTGTTTTCGGAATGATATTTAACAACAACAAACCCTTGGTCAAACCAAAAGAGTGGGTTGCAGTGTATTTTTCATCTTCTAGTGCATTGGCAATTTCAAAAAACAAAAGAAGAAAAGAAATTTTATATAAGGCTATAGAGATTAATTCAATGTCTAACATTTGTATTTATTTAAATAGTTATTGACCTATGATGACTTCCTAGGCTTAACATTTTATGTCTTTTTGTTGTTATTGTTAATTCTTCCAAAGACTTGGTTCTTAATAGGTTCACTGAATGCACAGTAGAGGCACTTCATGTTGACTCAGTCCCCAAGTAGCATTAATAATTGGGCCTGTGTCATAAAATGCATGGATCTTTAATAACTAAATGTCCCTGACACTTTTCACTACAGGGCTGGACTTAGTAACTGACCAACTCGGGGGGAGGCTTAGGGGTGGAGGGGGTTAGAAAATGATCAAAAAATGTCTCTGCTCAGGGATTTATGGTGGATTATTGCAGACAGTGCTAAAAATATAGAGCACAAGACAAGTTTACTAAATTAAAATTTTATTTTTTGAGAAACTTATTTGTATAAATTATCAAGATTTGTAGGCTTTCCTTTTGTAGAAATAATTGTTTTATGTGCCAGAGAATTTCAATTTTGTTTTCAACAATAAAGCATTGATAACAAATGTGTTGTGTAAGCCTTTTTTTAAATCTTATGCAGCAACACCGCTTAAATTCCCTGTGATTTTATCAGAATGAGGAGATAAAAACAGTAGAGATTGAGTATCAAATAGAGATGCATAATTTGTAGTTAATGTATAATCAATAATAATCCATTTTAATAGTTATACTAATAACTATGGGTATTTTACAGCATTGTATCACCAGGTTTACCATGTTCAGAAAAGATGACAACGTTTTGTTTTATTTTCTTTGGTCATTGAAGTATTTCTAGGGAATATTCCAAGTAGGGCATATTTGCCAGTTACCTGCTTCAGTAGATTGTTTTGGGGGAAAATGACAGTGTTTGGTTTAGGATGAAAGACAACCCTATTCTTCTGAGAAATGAGAGTACAGCACATTCAAGAGTCAGTTCTAAGGAAAACTTGGCTTTATGCCATGGTGCAAAACTGACAGAAAACTCGATAGTCTTATTAAAATTGTCATTATGTAACATGACTGTGTATTGCCTATTTCCTCTGTTTTAGGATAAAAGTTATTCCGGTTTAGGATAAAAGTTAGCTATGAGGACTTTATTTTATGCAAAACATCTTATGTATGTGTGAGCTTATGTTCCAGTTTTGCAGATAAGGAAACCAGGGTTCAGAAGTATGAAACAACCTGCCCAATGTCACTAAACTAGCCAGCAGCAAGCCTGTCCCTGAGTTGTGTAATGATATATCCTCTGTCATGCTGGCACTCAGGCATTGAACCAGAAGTGTGGAAATCAACTTTCTCCCGTCTCTTGGCGTTTTTCTAGCTATTTTACCTTCCACAAATCATGTTCTCTACCTCTGTCACTGCAGATGATCATGAAGATTAAAGAAGGTAATCCATAAAAAAAAATTTTTAAAGATTTAGATTGTGAGAGACAAAAAGGGATTCAGTGGTCATGTAGCTAAATCCATTTACTTTCTATGTAAAGGATATAAGGCCCACAAGTTAAGTGACTTAACCAAGATCCCAAAACTTGTTAGTGGCAGCACACACCAGGCTACAGAAATGTCAGTCATTAAGAGATCTTGCTATATGAAGAATAGCATAATGAATTCTAATGTCAAATGAAGGTATAGTTTTAACTTGGATGAAGCTCTGTACTCTGAAATCAATGAAGGGATCATCTTTGTTTTTTGTTATTTTTTTCTCCAGCTTAACACATTGCTGTTTAGTGGAAGACCATAAAATATACTATAAATGAAAATTCCATCTATTATTTGCTCATGAGCAACTTGATATTTTTTAAAACCTCATTTTCTAAAATATTGAGATTTGGGAATTTGATGACTTTTTGATATTGTCACCTGAGTGATGACAATTTTCACATAGTGTATGTTTACCATAAGAAAGGAAATGTATTTAAGTCTTGGTTATTCTTTCTATTACAAGGAAAAGAAAAACTGTGTTTCTGTAAATAATTTAAGGATTACAATAATTCCAATTTGTTTGTATATACCTTAGAATATGATTTTTCACTTAAATATTTTTAATACTATAGAATTTGTTTCCTGCTATTTAAAACTCAGTTTAATAAAGGATATTGTTAGAAAACTTGGCTTATGCACTGGAACTGCTACACACTGTAAGGAGAGAGCAAGCTGAGTGGCAATACAATTGTGCTAGCTCTATTATGCTTAGCCCTGCAGTAGACAAAGATACATGTATGCTAGGCCTTTAACCTTCTCACTGTGTCATTTTGGGTGGTCTTCCTGCAGGATGCAATCAGAGAGACTTTAGAGTCAGTCGGCTTTCATTCCATCTCCCATTTCTCCACATATTGGCCTTTTGTTGTTGTTGTTCTATAGAGATTTGAGATGTATTTTTTCTCCCTGGAGGACTTCTGGGATTTAAGTTTCTTGTTATCTTAAAATTCCTGTAAAGTTTTTCTTCTAGGTTTCCCAAAACCTTTCCCCAACTTTTTTTATTTAGCTGCCCCCTGATTTTCTTGTGCTATTTAATTGTCTTCTCCTAAAACATGGAGAGAAGTACTAACGACTTTTTTATCAAGAAAATCCTTGGATCGAATGAAAAAGTTACAAACATACAAGACAATTTAAAAAAAAACAACAACTATAGGGATCTAAGAAGTTAATATAATAACTAAATGGCGTCGGGGAAAGTTTCTGGAGATTCTCAAAAGGAGAGAGTCAAGGTGGAACGAGAAAGGACACACACTTGGGGAATTGACTGTTAATTGTCATTAGTATTTAAGTTTCTGTTATAGAGGTGGAGGATTTGGTTAGAACACAGTGAGACTATCTGTGTTCTCTTTATTGCCTGGTAAACTATCAAGATTGGGTCACTACTGGGGAAAAAAAAGCGCAACAAAGAGTGAGTAACACAACCACAGGAGAGGCTGGATAAATGTGCAACCAATTTGAAGTTTAGACTAGAACTGGCTATCTGTCCTGAGTGGAAATAGATGTAATTTTTCTCCTACCTCCTTTAGAGTTGACAGGTTATCACTTACCCAAGACAAAGCTATCAGCCATTCTCCAGTCAGATGGAGAGAATAGAGTTTTATATTTCAAGTAATAGTTCAGGACTTCTAGAATCGCTTTCTCTAATAAATTTCTATCATGTCTCTTTCTTTTCTATCCTATTAGACTCAAAGTGAAATAATTCCTCTGAGACCTTTCTCTTGGTAATGGTTGAACAGCTAGAAACTGTAATGAAAGTTTTCAAAAAATGTATTGGTAGAGAAATCAAACAATATAATTTGTTTCCAAAAATACTTAAAATACTATACAGGAATTAAAGTGTCTTTTTTTTCCAGCTGGATACTCCTCTCATGTAATGTAGAAGATAATTTAGTAACAGAGATCAGAAATGATGAGGGGAAAGAGGGGCAGTGTATGTAGGGTGTGGAACTAGTGACTACCTTTGATTTTAATGTGAGCCGTTTTTCCAATTTGATTTAGCAGGTAATGTCCATATTGACTCTAATCACAATTAGCTTTTTAATTCTGCAGACATTAACTTATTAGAGCCAATTAATCTTAATAGGTTTTCATTTTTATTTTGTGTTATTTTGAGTATATTACAGTTACTGTCTATGGACATTTTATGCTTCCTTTGCAATAGATTACTTGCTATTCTCTAAATACGCCTTTACCTATACTTAATGACAATTTGGGATATTTCACGGGAATTATGTTTCAAAGTATATTTTTTTAAAAAAAACTGTTCTATGGCACCAAATATTTTTATGTGACTATATAATATTCTATTAAAATGTAATAATTTTGCATTACATGATATAGTACACCAAGGTTATGTTTTTTACATCCCATTGAATCTCTCTCCCTATGACCCTATTGATGATATTTATAAAATGTGATTATACCAGCAAAGCTATCTGCTTATATAAAATTAATCAAGGAATTGTATTGGTTAATTTGTTATCATTTCTTTCTATTGAACCAATTATTGTTTGGACTTAGATTTCATTGAGATATTTGCTTTGTGAGTGAAGCTGAGGATGAGTTAATCTGCTGCTGTGTCTCAAGTGGTTGGTCAAAGAGTGATACTCTTAGAAATTAATCACAGGAGCAAGAGGAAACATAGTGAAGAAGCTGTGGCTTTGTGCAGTTAATTGACATAGCTAAGCTTACAATGTACAGTAGATCCAATGTAGCATATAAAATGTTGAGATACTAGTTATAGGTTATATCCTGCAGAGCCCAATATTAACCAGAATTTGTGAAATAATCTCTTTGGAGTAGAGGGAAGACACAAAGCATGGAATAAATTTATTTTGAGTCCTGGTTTAATTCATAATGTCTTCATTTTAGGAGAAATTTATGAATCATAACTCACCAAACACAGCTGGTCTAAGTGGAACACAGAAGCATTAGGATAGATTAAACCATTTCCAAAGATCCATTACTATCATCTGATGACACTGCTTAGTTACTTCTTCTGACCTGCGCATGATGCATCTGTGATCCAAGGTTCATTTGTTTATTGCAGACAGGTGAAATGTGTAGAATTCCAGTTGACATAACCAAATTGGATAATATCCTTTGTAAGGAAAAAACTTAGCTTTTTTTTTTCTTTGTTTGGGGTGTGTGTGTGTGTGTGTGTGTGTGTGTGTGTGTGTGTGTGTGTGAAATTAAAGGTTTGGGGAGCATACTAGCTGAATGAAAGTTCTTTATAAGCCTGGGAATAATAGTAAAAATATGAACAGCATGTCATTTTCCTATTGCAATGTACCAACAGTAAATACATTTGCTACAAGTCTTTATGATTATTAGTTAAGTGATTTGATTTTCTTTCATCTGTCCACCTTCTCCATTATACACACATGCATGTGTGTGCATGTACACACACACAAATGATCACAAACTCACTGCATGTCTGGGAAGTGCACAGGTAAACCCAAACATAAGAGTCTGTACATTTGATCCTCTAGGAGAGGAAGTAATTAGGAGCAATGAAACATAACTTTGAAAGCTTTTGATTAACAAAGGAAATAAAGTAAGATCAAACCTTTTGAAATGATTTAAATCTAGAGGAGCAAAAGTTGAGAGACACAAGCATTTCTTGATATTTTTATAAATACCTTGGCATGTCTCTTTTCACACTGTCCTATGCCTGCCACAATCAAGCTGCTGAGTGATTCACTGAATCCTTTATATAGGGTACTTTTCTCTCCTTATTCTAGGAAAGAAACACCACCCAGAGAAAGAGGAGACATGACAAATGTAGATTTGTAACTCTCCATTTTAAGGATAAGAAAAATTACCAAGTTGACCTTTAGATACCTTGGTTTTAAATATATTTTGTCTTGGAAACATTAGCCAAATGACCAAATGATATGTTTTCTTTAATGTAGGTAGCGTCACATTCAGCAATTCTGAGCACTGATGAAAATGAGGGGAACATTGATGCCCCAGTTGCATCACCTTTCTTTTTTGGCTTTAGCTCCTCAGGTGATATTTTATTTCCTTACATGACAACTTCATTCA